GCCATCGCTGTGCTGCGACGCCCCAGTGCGCTAGTTTTAGCGTCAGCACCAATCCCGTCAGCTTCAGAATTGGCGTTGACGGAGCTAGAGAAGGAGAAGAAATAGAAGAAGTGGCGGGAAGAGGTGGTGGCATGCGTTGCAGACTGTACGACAGCAGAGGGAGCTATTCCACGATCCAGGGGTCCAACGACACCTTCTACATCATGCAGTCGCTCTTCGCTGCAACAGTGGAGGGTGAGTGCAGGTGTGAGAGTGTAGTGATCTTGGGAATATTTAAAGGGACTGTCCCACCTTTGCATTAGTTCTGAATTGAGATAGCCAAGTTGGCGGCCAGGTTCAGAAACCACTCTATATCCTGGTCGCAATATCCTCAGTTTCGTGGTGTTAAAGAAATTCGTTCCCTTCATTTTAAAAGTGGGCCTTAGCTAAGGCCCTATCTCTTAACTATTAACGGCCATTTGATGACGTCATTTGCATTTTGAACGCCTGTCACGCATGTGAAGTTTCACTTGATTTACGAATAAGCTAATCAGAGACACTTGTTATTGTATGAGCCGCATCATATTTGAGAGCAAATACCTATATTTGCTGCCAAATTTCCCCCACATTGACATGAAGTAAATCCTTCATTACGTCACAGATCCGATCTAAATGACGTCACGATGAAATATAAAGTCGCAATATCTCAAAAAGTATACAATGAAAACGCGTAAAAACTTGCAGAATTCGTCACAATATCATGAGTAACATTTCCGAATCCTAAATGGTACTTTTTTGAAGGTGGGATAGTCCCTTTAATTGCTTTCAGTAGGCACGTTACTACGTAGATGACAATCTTTACCGGCTGCTGGAGCTGCAAAGAGCTGTAGGTATGCAGGTATGGAGATTTAAACGTTCGAATGGGAAACTGAGACCATTCTTTAGCATTTCGTACCATTTCAATTCCCCTTTTAATATATTAATGTCTTAACAGTATCGAAAATACACGAATGTCTCTTTGATATGTCGCTTCAATATATATCTCGTAACTTTAACTGCTCATTGGCTCACTAGTAGGGACTTTACTACTGCTATATAATCGTCACTATGTATTCCTGACTTTTCTAGTGTATACCTAATCAAGCACCTCTGCTACCTACAGACGAGGCCGAACGCCGCGGCTCCCATTCGGGAGAATTCTGCACCACCCACACAGACTGCGTCGACAATGGTGATCGATGTTACGGTCTACAGTGCGGCCAGAAGCCTACCCTCACCTGTCTGGACCTGTGGAAACAGCACGGGGTCACCAACACGACCCTGATGGGAGCCGTCGACGGCCGTCCGCTGTTGTTGCACTGTGCAGGGTTTGGTAATGATGAGAGTCAGCAGGGCTACACGCTAGTCCTCACGTCCACTGGAGCAGGTTGGACAAGAGAGAATGTCTTGGCGAGGGACATCACATCGCCAAGTTTGCATCAACCGTACTCGATTCTTAGACATGTTGATCACATGCGCGCTGAGAGATATCGCGAAGGAGAAGAATCGTTTGATTTTCGCGTGACATCGTTCTGTCGGGTCTCCCTTGGGGGCGGGGATAACGGGGGACCCCTGGATGTACTGATAGGAGGATTTCTCGGGGGACTCGCTGATGCACAAAACGTTTATCCGGGCGATGAAAACACCCAAAAGACCGTCAGCGCCGGCCATTTCACCGTGGGAGGCTGGTGGAAAGCCCATACGAGTCAATCTCTGTTGATGTACTCACCCGATTCGAGCCACGTTTCTGTACAGGAGTTATTCCCTTCCACGGCGGCGATCCAGCTTCTGCCTCAGGAGTCGCTTCCCTCCTGGAGACGAGATCCTTACACAGTCCCCTGGCTTGGACCTGTTGGTGACGAGCGTGCCCTCCTGAACCTAGGAGTGAGTACGGATAGTGTGGCTGAAGGAGACCTCATCGTCACCCCTGGCCCTGACGCCGCGTCCACTAGTCTAGGATGTCCTGGAGAGACATCGCCGATTTGGTACTACGTCAGAGTGTGAGGTGTTGTGTTGAAGTTAGGGTAGATCCAACGCCTTTCTGGTGATAAACACATTAGCCGATCCGGTAGCACATTTTAGCACGGTAGCTCGGTAGCGTCTAGTTTCAAATCAGGGCAAGATGCAGTGTTTCTCTCGCAAGCAGTGCCTCACTATCTTTCATATTCAGCGGATACAACAAAATTGTTCCTTTATCACAGACTTGTGGCACTAGATCATTGTGTGGTGCTATGGCTAAGTTACACACTTGTAATATCTAGTCAGTACCTATGCTATGTAAAAGCATAGCTGTATCACAGTAAAAAATATGTCGCGTCAGGGTGTAATGTTTGCTTCTGTCAACGCTGGACGAATATTTGTTCGTGTATTTTGCTGTGCTATAACCAAATGGTCACACTGCACTGTGTGATATCACTGATAGATCGTGGTAAGAGTTAAATTATAGTCTATGTATACGTATATAACCATGGGTGTAGTGTGGCTTCACTGCGGCGGCTTCTGAGGCGGTGATCCATGACAAACGGTGTCTACCTACCGTCCGTCCGTCAGTCGATGGATACGGTGGGGAGCCGACAAATTGGTTTGACGGCCACCTGGCCAACAAAATAAATGTAAAAATGTAGATATCTTTTCAAAAAGTGGCTAATAAAATTACTGAGCTGCTAGAAATTATTTTTCCTCTGAATGACCACTTTTGATAAGCCAAAAAAAAGATGCGTAACTCTGATTTGCAATGCATCCATGTTGCCGATTTTTTTTTAACACTATTTCTTTAAGTCTTATCTCGAAATAGAATGTGAACAATAGCCCTCCGGACGCGTCCCCAATAAGTTTAATTTTTACCTTTTGCCTGACGTTGACGGTAGACAAATTGACGTATCCGTTACTTAATATGTGAAGAGTATCTTAGATGTGATAAGATGAGGCCTTTCTTAGTATTCTAAGCCTGCTTCTATGATGTTTAGCGTCGATATTTTTTTCGAAGGAAATATAAAAAATGCCCTCCTCAGTCCTCGGTCAAAGACGTTCTTTTGGAGGCTGAGTAAAGCGCGTTGTATGCAAGCACCCTGTTATTGATAACGGCTTAAAATGATATAGGCAACAGTTGTGGGCAAAAAGTTTTGGCAAGGGCAGCCAGACTTGCCAGCATCACATGGTTGGTTGGTTTGGGTTTACCACCATATCCGGTGGACCAAATGCTAACCGGAACTCTCACGCTGTTCCAAGCGGCCAGGTAGCGGCAATGCCACGTGCATTGCCCGGGAATCGAGCCCGGATGGCTGAATCTAGAGGCAAGGAACTTACCCCTAGACCAGAATGCTCCCCGCCAGCATCACATGAATACACTCGAGGCCTATACGAAAAACCGCCCAGCGGAACCTTTTGCGACGTGATTGCAATACAGTGACGAACATACAGTGATTCTTTGCGATGGTGCACAACAAAAGCCTCGTGATGATTGATGTTGATTTCATAGGTAGGCACTGCATTGCTGGTATAAGCTGTATCAGCTGTTGAGGCCTATTGAGCGTAACTGTGATAAATGCACTGTCGTGAAACCGTTCTGCATTCACTTTTGGCACTCACTGAGCTCTACATACATCGATCATGGCGTTAGGCGTAGGCTTATACACAACTTCTACGTTTATTTGTCGACTGAAACTGCACTTACACTTCTCACACGACATACAACGCGGCAGGGCAGATGGACAGCATGTGGCATAACATATTATGTGGCCCAGGCCCCAATAATGTATAAACATGAACAATGTGGCAAGATGGATGTAAGGCTCACAGCCTTCAATTGCGTCTTTTCCACATACCACCGCAGTGTGAACACCGCTTTTGAACGCTGTTCGCCGGCGCCCCACCGTGGTGTAAGCAGTGGCACATGATCCATGTTGTTTGGTCACTGTCCGAGCTTTCACACTCTGTACTCGGATAGACCGCTGTCGCGGCTGTGCCCTTTGTCCTTGTCTGAATACAGGCAATACACTTCGTCCCTTCAGATCGTTCCGGGGGAGGGGGGGGTATCGCGCCCCGTCGGCTCGTGCCGCAGTCCCGCATTCATGATGCATAAAATCAGTGAAAATATGTTTTTTATCTATCCAAACCTCGCGCTGTTACAATGAAGATAAATTTATTCGCAATGAAGACAGTAAGTCATACACTACACATAATTATACAGTAGGTATACACTACACAGTGAACCTTATACAAAGTCTATCGCACATTTTTGCATCGCAGTTACTTTCACAGTCGGTCATACCCATTGGTAATTAAATAACCTACTACGAGAGTTACTCGTTTGTCAACAAAGCTGCCTTTTATTGTCCAGATGGCTTACTCAACTACAGCTAACCACATGACAATATTGTTGTACCAAAACATATCCTGAGAAACATCTCGGCATCAACTCATATACACCCGCATACCCTGAGAGCATTAGCTAACCCCCTATATGCTTCAGATATAAAGAAGGCCTCCCCACACAAGAACTTGACTACGGCAAGAAAATATTGGTTTCGTTGATTCAGTGGTCAGCTTGCGTCCCTGCCCTTGCGCAAGCTCAATATCGAGCTCCAAGACACCATTTTATATGTTCAGTGTTCACACATCCATAGGATCCAGCAGCATAGTTTGCACAGCGGAGATTCCCAGATCCATCGACATCTTTTATATGCAGAATATCGGATCCACAGGATCCATTTAAAGTTATATTGGACTAGATTCGCTATCATTAAGCGAAAGCATGCTATCATAATTTATAATAGCCGTTATCACGACAGTCTATTCGGCGAGTGCACATAATTTGACCAAATCTGCACCTGATCTCTTTTACAGCAAATATCTTTATTTTATGAATTTATTTCAGTGTTTTAATCGATGAAATTCTCTCATACTATGACAAAGCAGGCCTATAAGCAAATAGTGCAATCCTAGCTGATAGCTACTAAGAGAGATACTGAACCTAATTTGACCAAATCTGCACCTAATCTGCACCAGATGTGCACCAAATGTGTACCAGATGGCCGTCGTGAAAACGGCTATTTTCATGCAACAAATCATGTAGAAGCAGGATCGTGCAGGCGAATCGCATGAAATAGTGGCACGCGATAAGACTATGCAATAAGATTCCAATTTCCATACACAACAGAGCACCAATAGGTACTTCTCAAGTTGCCTGCATCATATCCTCAAATGGCCTGAAAAAATCATTGGGCCAGATCAGAGGGTCTTTTTAGGCATGAAGAACATCAATAACCGTAAATAATTTTGCTCATTCGTTCGGATAAAGTTTTGACTTACCCTGATCAGTGATGGCTTGCGTTTATCCTGTTCTAAATTGGCCTGTGGCCAATCTTACCTACCTATGTGATGTACCTACCTACTGCTTTTCTGAGCCACGGTTTGCTACTATAATTTACTAATGTGCTGTTTCAGTAAGACAGTTTTCAGCCAGTTGCCTTTGTTTTTACCGTAAGATTGTCCTGGGTTTCTAGATGTGATACTTCTGCTAAATTATCCACAGTCTCCTGTGATACTTCTGTTATATTGTCCATCCTCTCCAGTGATACTTCTGTTAGATTGTCCACCCTCTCCTGGCTGTACACCAGAGGGTAATTTAGATCAGCCAACACATCCCCACAGTGACTCTCCACCTCTCGTCTTTTCTCCAAAGGCAGCTCTTCCAACCACTGCAATCCATTGAACGACGCGTCTCGTACCGTTCCGAAATAGTCGTGCACATCGGGAGCAGAGGTGGGTATAATGATCGGGCCCGCCTCAGTGGTTGTGGTCGCGGTGCGATATTTTCCCAGCAACCATCGAATGAAAGTGAGAAGCTGTTTTCTCGGAGGTTTTCTAGCGGTGGAGGGACGTCTGGTGGTGGTAGTTGAAGGCTGTAGTGTTGGTTTCTCCCGCAAGATGGCAGGGCTGGTGTAGTGCCGCTTAGAGTGGGTAGAAATGAAGCGCAGAACGTTATCCGGAAGCCGGAAGCCGAGTCGCCGGAACAGTCGGCGGGCTTCCATCTCTGGGTCGGCCACCAGGTCCTCATACCTGGGGCAGGGGTCAAAAAGTCACTCGGCTGACACACTGTCGTTAGGTCACCACCTGGTCTATTGGGGTCAACAAGTTATCCGGATGGATAATTTATTTTCATTTTTTATCTTAAAAAAAAGCGGTACCTTCAACTTTCAAGCGAGCTGGTGCCTGGTAATCCAAGAAAACAGTCATTTTTGTCATACTGTCGCTCAGAGGCTACCTACTTGTGAACTTATCGGGGTCAATAAATGACTTGGCCCGACTGAATGTCCCCTTGCAGCCTATTACCCAAGGTCCATCTCTGTCTCTGCCTCTGTCGCTGGCTGTCTATCTCTGTCTCTGCCTCCGTTTCTATCTCTGACCGGAGCATACGCAGGCGTTACCTGCCCGACGAGACTGCAAATGAAAGTACTGTCTTTTGTCGCTAGATGGCAGCACATAAAACGCCTGAAACTAGGCTGTGCCGCCGGGCTCACACTGCTGCAGCTGCAGCGTTGCAGTCTTCGGAATAATCCGCATGCGGTCAAAGGGAGCGGCTAACTAACTAACTAACTAACTAACTAACTAACTAACTAACTACCTAACTAACTAACTAACTAACTAACTAACTAACTAACTAACTAACGAGCTCTAACTAACTAACTAATTAACGAACGAACGAACGAACGAACGAACGAACGAACGAACGAACTAACTAACTAACTGACTGACTTACTACCCGATTAGTGGCTTACCATCCCAGTCAGTTCAGTGTTTGTGCAACATAACATTATCACTTATCACTCATTTTGTCTCATTAGCATGGAGTAGCCTAACACAATTACCTGTCCTAGGTAAGTGTTGCCCTATATGCGGCACGTAGTGTGTTTTGGGACTAAGACAAGGTATTCAAGTTTCAACAGTCAACAAGCACTTTTACTTTTAGATATTAATCCAATGGGGAAACACTACTGTACCTAAACTATTATTGAATGTTACCCCCCCCCCTCATCTACGTGAATGGAAGCCAATTGATTGTAAGAAGAATCAGTAACGGCGGGACACCTTCAATTTAGGGGGGGGGGGGCACTGCCGACTTTCGGTCCCATTCTTGGCATGCAACGCCCATAGGGATAAAGTTAAAATGCCAAAATCAAAGGGGGCACGGGGCCCCGGTGCCCTCCCCGTTCCGTCGCCTATGAGAAGAAGCTAACTATGAGTCCGTATCTGTCTCCTTTTATCTGTCTTGCTACCTGCGTCTCCCTGTCTCTGTCTTATGTCTGACTCTGTCTGCCTTTGTTTCTGTTTCTGTTTCCTTGACTCTGTCCCTCTCTGTCTTTCTCCATCTCCCCTCTCCCATGCCCGTCACCTTCTCGCTCATACCTAACCAAAGTGTAGCGCTGCTCCAACAGCTCGGTCTTATTGAACTCTCGGAGAACCCGAAGACTCTCTCGGATATTTTCGCAGATCATAGAAGTAGGAAACATGTCGATCCAGCCTTCCTTCTTTAGGACGGAGTTAGCCACCGCTCGTGGATCCCGCACCAGGTGAAACACGTGCAGGTTAATGTCGGGCTCCTGTCAAGAGAGAAAGAATGCGAGCAGGTTGGGCGTTATCCCGTTAGTAAAAGGTAGGCTTTCGGACTTGAGCATCTACTGCATTCTGTTGGCTATTGCTACATAGCGATAAGAATTAAGAATTAATAACACCAGTGCGCTTATAGAAGAAAAATATGCCTGAATGCTTAGGGCTAACTAAGAAAAGGCAAAACAACAACGAAAAACGAATAAATCACTATAATCATTCTGCTCATGTCAAGAGCATCATGAACAATCAGTTTCAGGCGATCGCCTATCACTCAAAATAGAAACATGACGCAGCCAAAAGGATGCATCTAGCATTATACATAATAGCCGCTTTCACCTACCATTAGCAGCGGTAGTACGCTGCCCAACCCCGGTCGAACTGCCTTCACTATCCGCAGTTTGAGATCGTGACACAGCTGCTCCCGTTGCCGGCCGCTCAGGTGCGGTAGCTGAGGTTTTCTCCAGATCTCCATGTCGAGACTCTCGTCAAACATGGGCGGAAGGAGCGATAAACTGTGGGTGGAAACAGTGACAAATTGTCGGCGGTACACCGATAAATTATGGGCAAAAACAGTAGGTAATATGTTGTGGGTAGAAAAAGTGAAGAATTTCGGGAAGAACCAATGGTGAGCCATCGAGGGAGTAACACTTTGTCGGCATAGGCAGGGACAAAATTTGGGTAGGAGCAATGGCAAACTTTAGACAGAAGCAATGACAGACTATAGGCGAAAGAAATGACAAGCAATGGGCGGAATCAGCGACAAACTTTGGGGACATGCGGAAGCAATCACAAGCTGTCAGGTGTGGACGAAGCCTGGTGTTAATTTCCCAGCCATGTAGCTGATTGCACGTAATTTTGACTCGTGATACTACATTTCTCGGGATTCTTTAGTTACAGTTCATAGCACTTTTAGATTTATTGTCTGTGGCCCGGGGTTCGGTTTCGTTTGCAGCAAGCATTTTGCGCACGTTCATTGCACACGCTCATAAAAGTAATAACGTGGGCTGGGCAGATATATACACTATCAAACTATTTCTACAAACTATTGCGCACAAGCAAAATAGCTCGTAAAAGCAAGCGAAAGGTAAATAATACGAAACATTGGGTAGTACCTGACTGGCTTAGTTGTAGCTATGTTGCGATCATTAATGCCCTTTTCATTCATAAAAAAGAAAATGTATTGACGCAAGAGCAGTGCAGTTGGTCGAGGCATCAACCAATAATGTATACCATGCAAGGTATGCATGTAATGCAAGGCATATGCCACTTGGATGCCTTACCAAGAAAGGTGGAGCCACTTCGAGCGGTTGATGCCACTAGTACCACCATCACCGGCTGTGTTATTTCACTGATGTTCATTAGCCCTTCGTCCGAGAAAGAATCAGAGAGGTTGCTACTTAGCGCCTCGTCTTGTAGCGTCATGTCCTGATAGTTTGTGACGATTGGATCTGTAAAACAAAGCGATAAATGTGTATATAATTTATATAAATAATTAAAGTATAATTGATGTTAAGTCGTGTCGTGTAGTACCAAGAGTCGACCGAAGGTGCGGTTTATCGTAGGTACGATCTCTCACATTAAAACTGAAATTGTTACCATTTGGGCTGTGGAGTCAAACTCAGCGTTGTCAGGAGTCCACAATTATGCTCAGAGTCGAAGTCGGAGTCGTCATTACATAGCTAAATGTCAGGCTTTACACCTGTTTGCTGGAAAACATTACGTTCTTTGACCTATCCAAGACCGATTGTGACCGCGCTTAGGCCCTGATCCTGCTCTGGACTAGCGTTTCGGCATGACAAGGAGAAGACTTCGACTGCATTAGAATCCGTCTTTAGCTCACGCTGTTCTTTATAAGACATGCATCCAATATAAGAACCTTGCAAGTTGTAACACTCAGATTCGCTTCAAGCAAGTACCCTCAGCCTGTTTGGAAAACTCGATAAGCGTTTGCTCGTAACTATCGTTGTTGTTGTTTTTTTTTTGTATTTTATGATGCAAAATCAATCAATCAGTTTATTAGAAAAAGATCCAGCAAAACGAGGCTTTTCACTCTTTCACGTAAGTCGTCAATAAAAAAAAAACGGCGAGAATGATGGTGTGTGACAAGCAATCACTAACTCAGCTCACAATACCTCACGCACACATACGTATGTAAAAGCATACATTCCTTTCTAGGAAAGAGTGCACAGTCACTCATGATTGGCTCTTACGACCTCCCGCATCGCTGATCGGAAATTGGCAGCGGTGGGATCCAGGCGGTGCTCGTTCAGCAGTCTGACGCCACGGTAACACAGCCTTCGCCGGCCGTACTCGGTGCGTATGCGCGGCAGCATGCGGTTTCCAGCGCGGCGCGTGTCGTGCTGGTGAGTCCCAGCTGCCCGTGTGTCTATGGTGCTGTATAGGTGTGCTGGCTCCCCATACACGATGACACGACGCAAAGCACACAATGTATGGTAGTCAATAAGCTGCTCTGCCGTGAACCATCCGAGGAGCTCAATGGCATCAGAGACATGATCGTTGCGCCGCCTACCGGTCACGACACGCGCACAGAAGCTAACAATTTTCTATAATCTTCACACTTGCGTGGCTCCGCAAGAGCCGTAGATGGGCAAGCAATATCTCACTACGGATAGTACAAGTGATTCTACTATGACTTTAAGTGCCTGACCGGGAAGGACATGACGAGCATGACTGATTGAGATAAGAATACTGGTACATTTTCTGATCATGTGCGCGTGGAAGTTCAGCGATCTGTCGATAGTGAGACCTAGGTTCTTTACCGCGCGCGACTCAGTGACAGTACATAGTACCGTTAAACCTTACTGAGACAAAAGGCAAGCCCCGGAGCATCGATGGCGTTCCCAGAACAATCACTTGCGCTTTGTTTGCATTAATCTTCATACCTAAAAATATAATCAAGAAAAGTAACCGTACTCTCATAATTAAAATAAAAAATATTAAAAAAGGCCAGATAATCTCGAGGAGCTTTCGGCTTACGCCTTCTTCAACTTGCTCGAGAGCGAGTTGAAGAAGGCGTAAGCCGAAAGCTCCTCGAGATTATCTGGCCTTTTTTAAGATTTTTGATTTTAATTATGAGAGTACGGTTACTTTTCTTGATTATATTTTTAAGTATGTCTATGTCTCTCAAAACAGTGCTCACAACAATTCAGACTAACCTTCATACCGTTGGAACAGAACCAGTGGAACAGAGACGCCAGTACACTTTCCATACGCCTAATGATACTGGGCAGTTCTTGCTTCGTGCCAATGATTAGCACAGGAAACTACAGTACTGCAAAACCTAAATCTTATGCCAAATATGTGAAAGATGAATTCTAATCCATAACAATCACGCCCATTCCATGATGATTAATCTACAGTGCAGTTACTTTTGCCTACGTATCTCCATAATTTATTTGCTAATCATGCATACTAATTTTCAAAAACTTCATCTGAACTTGAATCTTTTAAAAGCATTGTTTGCAGGGAGCAGTAATTGTTTGCGGCAGACAGCACCACAAACACGTTATCTTACTGAATCTCCATGCTGGATACCGTTGGAAGAGCATGTGGATGCCGAAAATAGTGACGACGCATATCACCAGCCAGTGGAGCGGTAATATCTTCTGGTGTCGCCTCATGAGAGGCATTGAGGACATTGCTTCAGACAGGTCGTGTTCTTCTGTTGCCGTGCTTCATAATACCTGGAACAGAAATTATAGGTCATGCAGGCGTTTTTTCTATAGATTCATTATAAAAATACCTTAAAGCGTAAAATTATTGATTGACTGAATCTGGGAGGTGGAAAGGTATTTCGCATAAAGTGACAAAGACCTACGAGTAGTAGCCTGCGTCGGATTGTGTACTCGACGAGTACACAATCCGACGCAGGCTGTTTTGCTATTCGTTCCTTGTTTCATTTATGTCAAATGCAACTCCACAACAGTGAGTATAAAAGTGAGTGAGAAGAGAAACGAAAGTAATGAGTGCAACTGCGTGTGTAGCTACATGTATGTATGTATGTATGTATGTGCTGTGCAGACTGCAGCTCAGTGGCGCCAGCCAGGATGGGCTCGGGCCCCATCCACCCGGGGCCCGAGCCCCGTCCACCTGAGGCCCCAGCTCTCTCTCTCTCTCTCTCTCTCTCTCTCTCTCTCTCTCTCTCTCTCTCTCTCTCTCTCTCTCTCTCTCTCTCTCTCTCTCTCTCTCTCTCTCTCTCTCTCTCTCTCCCTCTCTCTCCCTCTCTCTCTCTCCCTCTCTCTCTCTCTCTCTCTCTCTCTCTCTCTCTCGCTATCCATACTTTTTCACCGAAGGTTTCAGACAAGAGCGGGCCCTCACAGAAATTGCGAGGGGGGGTCAGCTGACCGTCTGACCTCCCCCCCCCACCCACTGGCTGCGCCACTGCTGTAGCTGGTTCGTAAGCGACGCAGAATAAGGCATACCTAAGCTATACTCCGGCTGTAATGTGCACTGCTGATCAGAATGTAATATCGTCGGTGCGAGCACAGTATGTAACGGTCTTTTCTGACGCCCAAAGACCAAATAGAAGCCTGGGAACCAGTCGTATCATGAAGTGGGCAATTACTCTGAGGTGTGTAGCTAACTGTCCTGTGGTAAAAATAGAAACCGGGTCGCCTGGACTCGCTGTGTTCGGCGATGACTCGCCGCTCTGGATCGCCCGGAGGAGACTGTACCGTCACGAGCCACCTGTTAGGACCTATGAGACTTTTTGACAGGCATAAATGGGTCCAACGTGAGTCAGCTGCCAGCCTTAGAGACGACAATAAACTACGAAAGTAAAAGAACGCAGCGACTTCCTGTAATAGCTCTCTCAGATGACACAGACGTCAACACGGCTGATGATTTTTCATGGAATGCTCGAAACGCGCAAAATGGAAGATGGAAGGAAAATGGAAACCAAGGTCTACATACCACACTTTTCAAAGCTTAAAATGCAATGCTTTAATATTACAATCTGTGTGGTTCAAGGGGTGTGGTTAAACGCGTTAAACCACACGGCTGCTGACATCACTATCATAGAGTTGTGAGCTTTTCGGCAGGTATGGGAAACGCCTTCCAGTCCTAAGGCCGGGAATTCAATAAATGTCACCTCGCGTTTTTAGCGAAAGCACCTTGGGCCTGACGGCCCTCGGAGTTTTCGCTAAAAAACATCGGTGACATTTATTGAATCATCCCGGCCCCGTGCAGGAATATATTTTCCTGCACGGCTGGGAAAATTCTAAAGGGATACCTCGGCGTCTAGGGAAGAGTCTAGAGAGATGGCATTTTGCTGAAGTCACAATCGCTCAGTTTAATTCAAACCAAACCTTATGTACCAGTTTAAACCGAACCTTATGAACCGAATGGCGAATGACGTCTTCACGAATCGATCAAAACGTGTAACGATTTTGAAGTCCAAGGAAATAAATATGAGAAGTGTGTACTGTGTAACTCAGGAAGCACTCAGAAGTCAGAAAGCTAGCGCTAGTAATCACTAGCTTAACCTTCT